TGTCTCTGTTTACATATAACAAAAATGATGGAAATAAATCAAAAATATGATATCAAAATTATCAATTTATTGTTCTTTAATGGAACCAAATTACCCTCAGTCATGTACACTTTGGACATCATTCCACAGTCCGCTAACTCACGGTATATTTATAATTACATGTCAGACCAGAGGCTATCGCATGGTATACCGTTCTCACGTGCACTCACACATGCATTTCATAGGTATCTTGATATTTTACAAAACATTATTTTCACAGAGTAAGCTAGTAGACTACATTTGTAAACACGATTTAATCGACAGAGCGAAACTCCCTCAACAGCGAAAATCGTAACGACCTCGAGCTTATGAACTCGTGTAAACACGCGATATGCACATGTGAGGTTGGTACGTCCGCATTCCATGTGTTTCCTATATGACCTTCTTGAGGTCGTCTGGTCTCATGTCACTGTCTTCCCGTGAGTCTGTTTATGTCTATGAATTGGAAAGCTTTATTCCTGAAGTACGTGTGAGTATACATTTCCCGGTAAAATCTTGATATCGGGTGTTGACATATCATCGGCACGCACGTGTACTATTGTTTACCATGGGCCTGTTCGTTTATGCGGAACAACCGGTTTGACCGTTTATAAATGTAACAATTTCGGGTGTAAATCCTGGCGGACCTGCAAATGTGTATGCAGGCCTTGCAAGGCTTTCTCAAGACTCGCCTGAAAGCAGCATCAGATTACTAGGTCCGACCTTATTTAATAAACGAACAACAGTGGTCCGATCGGTTTGACCGTTTAAACGAAAACGGCCCAGCAGGTGTTACTATAATTTGCACTACGATATTGAATGCCCGATACGCAATACGGAAATGACGACACGGTGTACATGCACATTTCGATTAAGATAATTGAGTCCTAGCTGTACTTTTTCCGGAAGTATGTCACGAAAATGGACGCTGATGACGATGTGTCGAGCCACCTTAATGCACTTTTTATCATGCTCAAAATGAGCCCATACCTGAAAAAACAAAGATATATTTCATTCATGAACCGGTCTTTTTGTAGTCTGACAAACGTACGAAAATGTCGTATGCAAATGAGGCCATATCTCCTCTCCGATTTTTTTCCACTTCCGAAGAGCCAAGGAGACATTCTTATATCGATAAACAGTGTTTTTAATGAAACGTTAACCTTGTAATGCAATTAACTTCCAATTTTCACCAATTTTAAACAGAACAAAATGAGAAATAACATACCATCAACCAAAACCGATATAAGACTGCAGAAAAAATAATAACAGATTCTATATTATAACTAAATAAATATAATAAATAAACTTATAAAATTACATGAATTCGTTCAATTTAACATCTTGAAAAATTAATTAAAAATGTGAAATTTAAAAAAAGTTATTTTGATAATTAATTTGATGCTCAAAGATATTTTTTGTATTCCAAACGAAGCTTTTGTTCTTGCAGGTCACTGTAGAGAATTTCTTTTTAGTGTAGCCGAGTTATCTTTCTTTGAACACTAAATCAAAATAGACACCCGGAAACATATGACGGCTACCTCCGATGGGAGAAATTTGTTAAAAATTGTTTGGTCTGATTATTTTTAAATACAGTTTTATGTTGCTAGTTTTTTGTTTCCATTAGTAGATTGTATACATGTTTATGACAGTCATCCGTAATTTCAACAGTTTTCTGCCGATATGAGTACGAAATCGCGGATGCTTCTTAAGTTAAGTGCGCGGAAACCGGTAACCCGAGGATACCTCGGTTGAAAATTGAAGACAAATGATTTATTTACAAAATGAAACCATAATTACGACTGTCTGACATATAGTTATCCACTGACACCGCTTTAAAGTCGCAAGTACACCGTTAAATTGCGACCGAACCAAATTCTATACTCACGAGAAATGATCAAGTTTCACAGTAGCAGTCGACAACTAGGCGCCATCTTTTTTCGAATTATTTTTCGCTCCGCACAGAATGATGTCCCGCCCTATCAGTGGCGGAAAACAAATGAGGTAACTTTTTTGGAGTAGCTTCCCTTTCGCATACATACAGGTAGCCTAGTTATCGACTGCTACTGTGTAATGCAGGTTAGCGAGGGGGAAAATCCCGATATACCGCTTGTCATGTGTAGAAACTGATCGACGTGGTATTTCAGAGAAGCGGGCAACACATGTATTGGATTGAGGATATCAAATAAGGATTTAAACCATTCCTTGGATATAGTTTATCCGTGAGTATAGAATTTGGTTCGGTCGCAATTTAACGGTGTAATTGCGACTTTAAAGCGGTGTCAGTGGATAACTATATGTCAGACAGTCGTAACTAGGGTTTCATTTTGTAAATAAATCATTTGTCTTCAATATTCAACTGAGGTATATCCAATATTGACAAAGATTTGTGATTGACACGAGCTGAAAGAGAAAAGGGGGTACCGGATTTCAGTCTGTCGTTATATCCCTTTGTATTTATTAGTATAGGAGACCCTTTTTTTAATATTACAAGTAAAGCGATCCATGTTGTGCATGAGCAGAGTATATAAACAAGAGGTCAAGGGCCAAGTAGTTCTCTTGGCCTATTGATGGAGTTCTTGGAACTGCTAAATATAGTTGTGTTTCAGTTGTATTTGCACAATGACATAATTGTGTGTTCTTCCACAGGGGCATGGATCGCTTTACTTGTAATATTAAAAAAACTTCGCGAATATTTTAATGTAGATCCCTCGCTAAAGTTTCAAAGCCCAGAGAACTAAAAAAAATCAAAACCGTCGGCTGTCACCCAAACTCAAACACTTCGTCAAAACCTTCTCATGATTTGATTGGTCACTATCCTAAACAAAAAGATATGTATGAGTCCGGCAATGTAATATAGAAAAAAAGGAAAGAAACAACATATTTTCGCCAGTCTGACGGTTTTTAAACTAATCGGGATGTTGACATTTCCTGAAATCTTTAAATTCTATCTATCTTTAATGTATATAATCTATGAATTTATATTCGTGAGCTGATCTTTTTGCATTCGTACTCAACTTGATTAACGTGAGCATTTCCACAAGTTTACATTATTTTTAATTCCATATTATACTTTCCATACAGGTATAAAATGTTCATGTAATACGTTTATCACATCCGGGAAATATTATTTGAAATGTACCGTGTTTTGATGATTTTTTTTAAAATATAAAATCAATATGTCATAAATGGATAAATATCATATCGTAAACGTATCAAAATAATTAAAGGTTTTCACTTGCTGTTCTCAATTAATTTGGCTTAATGATGCCAGTACCTCACCAAAACACGTTACTATACATCGGTATCCTTTTACCAGGCATAACTTTAATTAATCATTTCTGAAAAGAAACTATCTACAATAGTGTTTTTAGTGTAAAAATGCAACTGAGCAAGACCTGGATTTGACCCCTGAACCCCCAGTCATTATATTGTCCCTCTTACCAACTGAGCTACTTAGCCAACGCTAGTACCCCGGCCCAGTCGCGCTTCAGACATGTCCGAAACGAAATGTAGGGGAGAAAACTATAGAAGAATTATCTAGTTTTTTGTTTGCGACAGGACAGAGATCCTTAACAGTTAAAACAAGGATTAACATGATGACGCCGTCATCGATATCCCTCCCTCATAGTGTACTAGTCAATGTATATATGCGGATAGCCCTTACCTACACCTCTAAAAATGGAAGAGTATATTCTTACCATCAGATATTTTAACTCAGAAAGCACCAAATATTCAGGGGTTACGCTCACTTTCAATCTCTGCACCCCTGTGATATGTTTTGGCAAAAATGAAGGCTCAGCGTGGACCACCTTGTGAAAGAGACGGGAAGACTAGCTTGATCCTTTGATGAACATCAAAAGAATCTCGGTTTCGCGTAACGGTAAAAACCCTTTGGCTTTGAAGTCGGGCGTCGCTCCTCTGAAATCTTCAAAGGACAAGTATCAACCTAGTGATTGGTCAGGTAATTTCACCTGACACCAATCCAATAGCTAGCCGTGTTTCTTCGATTTTGCTATGACGTATTCCAGGGGTACAGAGAGGAACAGTGAGCGTAACCCCTGGATATCGAAGATGCACTTCATGGTGATCAAATTTATTAAACCAGCACTATATTTGGACTGTACTATAATTATTTAATCTGAATATCAGGTCAAATTCAGGTTAAATGCAGGTCAGTTTGACGTATAGACTATTTGCTCATTTCAAGTTAAAAATGTGACCGGATATTGACCTGAACTTTTGCCTATGTACCCTGAATATGTTTTGAGCTTTTTTGTTTGCTTGTATGCCCAGCTTTACAGAGTGCAACTGCTGCAAGACAAAGTTTAAACATTCTTTAGGATCCGTATCAAAGATGGATTTATACCTTTGTTTCTAAGAAACGAAAATGTTATTGACCTTGCCTATTATCATTGACATTATGTTATTGTAAATGTATGTATGTGTCAATAGCATGTAATAGGACAAAGGCATTCTTTGAATGGCTGAGTCGTTTCCCAATTTTCCTCAATTTCCTCCTGCCTGGTCCCTAGTAAGTGATGTTATTGTTTTAACCAAGTCTCTATGAAAGATGGTCAGCAGTAATTAAATAGGCTAAACCTTTTCAGTTTCTTTTCATATTCCCTCAGTCCTATAGGTCACCAAAAGTGAGCTGAATAATGTTTTCGTGGTTCTGAACATGCGCTATTAATTTTCGGGTTGATTTTAAATCCATAGTGCCCAATATTTCCTTTGATTAAATGAGATATATTTTTCTCACATTTCTCAATAACAGTAGATCAATTTTGATCAGACTTCGTAAAACCGTTCCAGTCCTTGCCTTTAATAGGTTCATTAAGATGAATTCTTTGAGTCAAAAAGAAATCTAAGATGGCCACTTCGCAGGGTCTATTTATAAATAGTTCAGATAGCAAAGGAAACAGAAGAGCAATGCATGCGCTATGGGCCTCTTGTTATTTTGTCTACTTGTTTTTACACAGGACTTGCATGATAAACATGCTGAGGAGAATTATTTACGGAATGTTTTGGTACCTTTTGATGACAATTGGTGTCGCATCGATTTCGCCTCAGGCAGAAGGTATGTCCCATACGTTATATACATAGCCGTATGCAGCTGCATATATTTATTAAAATAAACTTTTGTTGAGATTAATATTTACCAATTATGGCCTTTGAATGAGATGAATATTCATCAAATATGGACTTTGGTTGAGGTGAATATGTGGTCATACAGACCTGCGAAATCGATATTAACCGAGACGAAGTCGAGGTCATTATCACATTTCAGGTGCAAATACTATCATGTTAACATCAAGGGTCCTTAATAGCTAAATATTAGATGCTAAATAAAGTTTTAGTCATTAAACAAGATGGAATGAATATAGGTACGGAATCTGTCGAGTTGCAACAAGTGGCTATGATTACTGGTTCCGGCAGACAGCGAAAACCAACTTCATGTTTATGTAACGTATTTTCTTTCTTTCTATTCAGGATCAAACACGTGTGTATTTATTTCAAAGCACCAATGGATAGAAAGTCAAGCCCATCAGAAATTGCACGGTAACATAATATTCTTTAAAATATATATAAAAATAAAATAAAAAAAATCATGTAGCGTTTCATAAGTTGCACATTTCATGTATGATTTTATGAATAAAAAAAACACTATATGCAAAAATTATAAGTACGAGTAATACAAAGCTATTCCACCTGGTGTAGATAAATGAATATCTCTTAATTGATTATTTTATTATATTTATTTATTTGTCATTTTTGTGAAGCTATCATCAAATTAAAGTTTACCCTTGCTATAGTCACGTTTAAGTGTCATTTTCTCCAAAAATATTCCGTATTAATTACACAATTCGAAGCATTTTATACTGAAGTGCTGATGTTCGAAATTTTAACATTTGTCAAAGACATTATACGGATCGAACTAGGACTAATGCCAATCTATCACTTTATCAATATCGCCATCCAGAAATCGTAAATGCATAGCATCAAAATGAAAGATGATAATCCTGACAAGGGCAGTAACTCTTAACCAGAAAGTATTCTTTTCGGTTACTGCAACTTATATCTGTAGGGGAGAATACTCAATTGACAAGTTAAAATTGCGGCGAGCAGAACTTTTTCTCATTTCAAATTTCATATTGATAATTTTGTTTCATTTTGCATTATTGTCGATCTTAATGTACTTTTCCTTTCGTTTTAGCTATGAATTCGACCCAGTGCACGACGTCAGATATTTGTAAGTAAACAAGTATTGACTATAAATATTCATTTTTTAAAGTTATTAGAAATATAGTTCATTTTATTAGAAATAAAAAGGTTTTGAAAATATCTGAAAATTCTTGATAACGAAGACTTTTATACAGACATGCACAAATCTACTCAAAACTTGTAAAGGTAAAACCATGTTGACGAAGGAAAGTATGACTCAATGAATAAAAATTTCCCCTGAAAACAGTTAAGGATTCGATTATGAACCATTCGGAACACCTCGCCCTGATTTTCAAAGTTACATGACCGAAGTGAATCGGCCGATTTTTTCTGAACGGATATTGAGAAAAATTAATGACCTGCGAGGCTAACTTACAAATTCACTTTAAAAGTTCAAAGTCAAAAACAGCAAAATGATCAGAATGCAGTTATATACTGTTGACTTCATTCGATCATAGTTTCTAAGAGAGAGAAAAAGAGAAGATATCAAACTTACATAGAACCATTGATGACCGTAACGTTTAGGCGCATACATTACTCTGGGACATATTTTGTTCCTTAACGTTTCAATCAAATTGATAATTATGACAAACGTTCAGTTTTAAACTAGTTTTCGTCCCATCCACAAAGTGGTGCACAATGAGCCTTCCTTTTTGCTATGATATATTTCAGGGGTACAGAGAGCTAAAGTGAGCGTAACCCCTGGAGTATCGAGGATGGGAAACCTTACGTGAAAATCCTGAAAGCTTAGGTGAAAGAGCTTAACACATTACGTGTAATATTTAAATGTATTTCTATCACCGTTTTTTTTACAGCGTTGCCGGTAGCCACTTGCGAATCGGCAAAGAATGGTCATGTATTTGGGAAACTAGAGTGCTTCTGTGCCGGCAATGACCAGTTCATGCAATGTAACCGCACACAGGTTCCGCTTTGTACGTATAACTGACAAAGTAAATAAAACCTCGATATAACGCCGTTTATTCCATTTGCCACCTCGTTTACCGCCAGCATATTTCAAGGTCCCCTTTTTTAAAGAATTCCTTTAAACATTTCCTTTAAATTTATAGCCAAACGACTTTATAACGTCAAACCTTTTCTGGACAAATGGAGGCAGTATAACGAGGTAATACTATATATTTTATTGCTTCTATCTTCCTTAATTATTATGATATTGTATAATTGATATAAATGCTATAAAAAGTGACACGATAACCTTGAACTGGTATGACTGTGTGTAATGCACTGTATTGTATATATATCTATTCATTTTTAGTAAATTATTTACCACAAATAAATATTTGCATATCTATTGTCTCCGCAACTTGATTAAGGATCCCTGCACCACTGCCAAAAAGTGTATAGCTATACAGTTCCTTGTGAAACTTTTAACAAAAACAGGGATTGATTGCAAAATATTAGTGGGACTATACCGGGATTCGAACCCTGGACTTGAGATAAGTATACTGTCGCGTTAACCTACCTGTTCACCGGAAGAGTCCTGTCTGTGGTATAATTACATCCAATTCGGATGTTAAAGTGAGGTTATCATCTGTAGGGGAAATTAACAGTGCAGCGGAACAAGGATCCTTAATGTTGATAATTTGATTATTAATATAATAATAATAATGCAATATTAACTGTTCTGAGTGGTGTCATGTTGTTATTTGTTGTTTTGTTTCTATTTTACTATTTTTATGTTACATTACTGCATTCTTGAGCATGGATGGAGGCTGAAAGCAAATATAGTTGATCGTCGCTTTCTTCTTTAAGTCTTGCAGTCTTTCTCAGGCTATTACGTTTAATATCTATGTTACAACATTTTGACGTAAAGCTGCATCAAGGGGAGTTAATAAAATTCTCAAAATTCTTGGTGTAGTAATATGGAGTACTCAATAGTTTTACTTTATTGAATTCTTTTCTGTTTTACGTTAGTTCCGGTTTGACTGAATCATTTTCAGGTTTAATTAGTTCCGGTTTGAAAATTTGAGGACACATTTCCTTTGCACATTGCGTCGATCAACTATCTTTGCCTTGTTGATGAGTTATCCTATTGTATTTAATATTCATATATTCACAGCTGACGTTTTTAATCTCTTTTTAACCTCAGGTTGCAAATATGATAATGTAGTTTGTCTTAATGGTGGAAAACTCAGTAAAACGGAATCGGACTGTAACGCTAAACCAAAGCCCATATACAAGTGCGAATGCCCACCAGGTACGTTTCCCTCATACATTTAGGAAAATGTGTATATTTAGTCGTTGCAAGGATGTTTATTTACAAGCTTTTCCCTTCCTTAACATTTGTCTTAAATATTCTTGTATCACCGCAAAAAAATATCACATGATAATACCTTCAATATAATAACATTTAAATTAGATAACACATTGAGTCAAGGGCTCATCTCACATGTGGTCGACATAAAACATGATTTTTTTACACCAAAATAATCATAATTTGAAACAAATAAAAACCCCACAAAAAAACACAATTTTCCTTTTTAAAAAATCCAGTGATCTTATTATAAAAATGTCTTCCGAGATTGGAACCCATGACCTCCGATCACAAAACAGTCACCCTAACCAACTGATCTTCAACTACAATGACAGTTCACTGGCCCCGTCGTACTACATGCACAGTTATATCCAAAGAAAAATGGGGGGGAGATATTGTATGAATGTAAAACCACAGTGGATTTCTTAAATGTTTTGCCTTTAGTGGGCGAGAATCCTTAAACAATTAAAATATTTATTTATTGCATGTACATTTGTATATATAATAATGAAAACAAAATGCAGCAGGTCTGCTGACCGTACTAACGTGAACTCATATATTGAACAATTATGGACTTTTGTTGATGTAAATTTGTGGTTTTATGGACCTGAGAAACGAGCAATTAAGACAGAAGCAGTCGAGGTTAATATCACTTTCTCACCACATATTTACTAAAAGTTCTGAACTGTTACAATAGATGCTAAACAATATTTAAATCATTAAACAAGATGGAACGTATCCAGAAATGTTCAGCAGAAAAGTACTGCATATGGCAAAGAGAATTGTTACGTTACAATTGAAATGACGTCATAAGTGAATATTGACCTGCTGTCAACAATATAAGACCACTTGGAAAATAGCCAAAGTCATGCAACAGAAGGCTGGCATAAGTGGTAATAACTTGTGTCCAATCCCTTGTTCAAATTAATTGGCAATGCAATATGTTTAAGGTTTAAGGGTCTTCTTAATGGCCGGATTATGTTGACTTTCATCATTCAAACTTTGATTTGGCTATATAGATGACTATATAATAGCATTATATGTATATATATATAACAAAATGTGTAATTTTTCTTTTCTTTTCTTTTTTTCTTTTAAATATTCTTTTAATTATTATTTTGTTCTGGTGGGACCTTTTTTGTTTGATTGCCGTTTGAATTTCTTACTGTTATCGTATGGCAATTCGAATAAAAAACTATCATTATTGTTTTTTGTTTTGTATATATCATAACAAATGTATCCCATTTAGTATTATATGAGAGTTTCTAGGGAAACAAATTAACTAACTTCGTATTATCTTTACTTAAAGTACTGGATGGAGGGGGTTACTATCAGGGAGAACGGTGCGAAAATATTCCTGTGAGTATTACTTGATGGTTGAAAAACCTTTGCGAAAAATCAATCAAATTGTCAGCTTTAAATCATCAACATAATGTAAAAATGGAACTTTTCGCGGTGTGGAAATGCTGGTGGTTTATTTTTCGCCTAGAGTTAATAAGTGCTAAATATCAACAACAAATTATCATTTATTAATAGATTATGGATACACAGAAAACAAATATTTCGAACCATTCCCAAACCCGAAAACATTTACGCACGCGAACAATTTCTACATATAATGTGGTCGTTGTTTGTTGACCCTACTTAATCAGTTTCATATTTTCTTACAAATTATGGTTTTGATTTACAATATTTCCTTAAACTGTAACCATACCTGCAAGCTCTCCCTATTAAGGAGGAATACTCTCGATATTGGACCCTTAAAATAAGTATTTCCAACCAGAGAATTTGCATCATTATTCCTTTATTATAAGATCTTATAATTTGATCTGGAAAAAATGTATATGTCATTTGAAGGGATTGTTTTGTCCCTCGGGGTATATGCAGACAATTCAAAAACGTTTGTAATTTTTTGGAAAGCGGAATCTTCCCCAATGTCTCAAAAATCCTTATAAACAATGTTTTACCAAGTCATTACCCATACCTCCTCATTCTCCCCTGAATACACATTTGAACTCTTCAAATTTAAATGTTGGAATATTTCATTATGAAAATTCAGGGGTGAATGAGTTAAACTAAGGTCACAGTTGTACTGTGACGTTGTATACTGTAGAAGCGCCGTTGATGGGCTCTGTCATATATATGTAATCTATTGTAGCTAATTAATACCCTATTCGATCAGTAGTGTTACCCTAGCTATTGTGATGTCATCACGACAGCCTCATTCTGATTATTAAATGATGCTTGACCTCAGCCATGTTGTTGGAGTTGTAACTAAACATGACAGGCTCTGGAACTCGAAGAAATCAAAAGAAGCTTTTGCCCATTCCTTCCTCAAAAACATCATTTCTATCAAGACATTTTCTATTTTCCACTCTGTTCCCTACAACATATTGTACATAACCAACACTTTCCGTCTCTTTTCATGTGAGGAGGTATATATGAGAACATAATCATGGACTGAATTTTTCTACTGACTATAATTTTGTTGAGTTCGATGAGATTTTCGGGCAGAGACTTTGCATATTCCTGGTAAGAAAATATCCCGCCTATTTTTTGTTTGTTTCGTGGGGCTCAGCTCAGTTTTTTGAAGAGCCGATCAGAGGACAGTTAACAAAACTTTGCCACCGACCTTCATTTTCGTTTTCAGATGTACCGACGACGTTGTGTTGCTTTTGAATAGTAAAATATGTATATACGCAATGAATGTTTAAGCAAATGTTGTTATGGTCTTATCACACACATTGCTATCGATGACAAACTTAATAAAGCCCTGAAAGGGTTTATGTAAGTTTGCCAGCAATTGAAATGTGTGTTATAGGACAATAACAACATTTGCTAAAATATTCATTATTTATATTTACATATTGATAAGAGTAATTATGCTTCATTTAGTTATTGCGAATAGTTTTTTGAGCAGCAAATTAAGTGTTGACAACAATGAAAATAATGATATCACGATAGAAATTGATGACGTTACGATAGCAAATGTTGTTATAATTCATAACAACATTTGCCTTCCCAATGCATTAGAATGGAAGGATGCAGAGCAAATGTAAATATTTTGATATCAATCGTTGTCAATCAAGCAGAAAACACAGACCCTTCCGGAAAAACTGGTAATTTTTCCTTGTTTATATTTGCATGGTCTCTATATCTTAATGTTTTGTCAGCTCATAGTTTGCCGTAGTTTCGGATTTTTAGTTAGCGTTAACGTTTTTGCATTCACTTCAGAGTGGTCTTGTTTTCTTTTGTTTACATATGTATTTGGCATATAATCTATTCAATGTTTGTTTATTAAGGTAATTAGGGAGTGCGTATATAAGGACAGCGTCAACGTCAACGACAGTCTAAACAGCTGTGATTTCGAAGATGACGTCAATCGCACGTGCATCCACAGCTCCATTGACACAGTCTATGAGTGCGGACCCGCACGCCAAAACGTCGATGGTAAGGAATCTTGGTCTAAAACAAACACGTATACTTAAGGAGGTCTATTCCCTTGCAAAAAATAACACATAATTTAAAATAGTCCACTGTAGGTTTTCCTTTTTACAGTAGCCTCCCCTTGATTTCGCAATGGGGCCAGGGCACTTCCGTTGACCAGCTAGCTCAGTTGGTTAGAGCGACAGTATAACAATCTTAAGTCCAGAGTTCAAATCCTGGTCTGGCAACGCTGATTTTTTAACACTCAGAACACTTTTGTTGTTAGCAATAATAAGCTCCCGGTGGGGATCAGAATCTTTACTCAAGATGGGGTTGACCCCTCAGGGGGAAGCGTGGCGGAGCCAAACGGGGACAAACTAGATGAAACTTCCACAATCTTCTTCCTCAGATCAAGATATGCTAGAATCAAATCTTCTTGGTGGATGAAATGGTCCTCAGCAGTTTTATCGAATGGTGAATTCCATTATATCCCGTGCAATGGGGTAATGACTACTATGATTTATGTAAGGAAATGACATTTCGGGGTAAATTATGTTTACTTTCAGTTGGTTAATAATTCAAACTTGGATAGAGTTCTTATCATACGATTGCAGTAAAATCATTCCCTCTTTAAGGGTTTAATTTTACTACATCGCTATACTATAGTATTTATCATTTCCAGATATATACTAGATTACATATTAATATTTAATACTTCCGAACATAATATGTAAGTGCAAATTCAGTCAAAAAGACATTTGTTTATAAACGTGTTTTTCTTTCTCGCATCACAATAAGAAGTAAAATTATATTTTTATTTAATTAAACGTTAAGACCCATGTGTTTCGTGTTTAATTAAGGCCCATAACGGTATTGTCTTAATTTCAGAAAAAAATTATCAGAGCTTAAGTAAAACAGTAAAAAACAGTTTCAAGTTTTCAATTTTATGGCAGTAGTAATCGAATAAAAAGTTCCACTTTATGGCAGTAGTCCTCGAATAAAAATTTCCACTTATGGCAGTAGTACTCGAATAAAGAAGTTCCACTTTATGGCAGTAGTACTCGAATAAAAAAATCCATTTTATGGCAGTAGTATTCGGAAAGAAAGTTCCATTTTTGGCAATAGTACTCGAATAAAAAGTTCCACTTTATGGTAGTAGTACTCGAATACAATTTCCATTTTATGGTAGTAGTACTCAAATAAAAAGGTTTCATTTTACGGCAGTGGTACTCGAACAAAAAGGTTCCATTTTATGGCAGTAGCACTCAAATACAATTTCCATTTAATGGCAGTAGTACTCTAATAAAAAGGTTTCATTTTCCGGCAGTAGTACTCGAATAAAAAGGTTCCATTTTATGGCAGTAGTACTCGAATAAAAAGAATCCATTTTATGACAGTAGTATTCAAATACAATTTCCATTTTATGGCAGTAGTACTCAAATGCAATTTCCATTTTATGGCAGTAGTACTCGAATAAAAAGGTTTCATTTTACGGCAGAAGTACTCGGAATAAAAAGGTTCCATTTTATGGCAGTAGTACTCGAATAAAAGGTTCCATTTTATGGCAGTAGTACTCAAATAAAATTTCCATTTAATGTCAGCAGTACTCGAATAGAAAGTTTCATTTTATGGCAGTAGCACTCAAATAAAAGGTTCTTTTTGATGGCAGTAGTACTCGATTAAAAGTTACATTTGATGGCAGTAGTACTCGAATAAAAAAAATCCATTTGATGGCTGTAGAACTTGAATAGAAAGTTTCATTGTATGGCAGTAGTACTCAAATAAAATGTTCTATTTTATGGCAGTAGTACTCGAATAAAAGTTACATTTGATGGCAGTAGTACTCGAATAAAAAGGTTACATGGCTAAGTTTCATTTTATTGAAGAAGAACGAAAGATCTTTAATCTTCTGAAGTGGTTAGAAATCCCAGCTCAATTGAAATATTTAACCATATGAAATAGAATAAAATTGAATAAAAAAGGGGGAATGAAGTCACAAAATAACAGTTGTATTGGTATCAATATTATTGTTTTGAATTAATGCGGCTGAGAAAATTTTCATTTTGTTCGCTAGGAATGACATACAAAAAGTGTGAACGACGATACAACAGCACAAAGGCATCCAGCAAAGAGGATGTGTCTTTTACACCCGAGTGTAAGTATTGAATTTTTTAAGCTTTACTCCATTGATTTATCCAGTAAAAAGTAAACTGCAGTAATGAAAGTAACATAGATATAATTTTCACGATGTCATGAGGAAATATCATAAACAGTCGTGATGAAATGCACAAACAGCAGTAATGAAATACACAAATTACACAAACTACTGTTATGAAATACACAAACAGCAGTGACGAAATACACAAACCATTGTTATGAAATACACAAACAACAGTGACGAAATACACAAACTACTGTTATGAAATATACAAACAGCAGTGACGAAATACAAAAACTACAGCTTAACATATAACATCACTGTTATAACAGAAATGACGAAACTACAGAAAACAAAAGGAATATTTCTACAAGTTCGATAATGTATAGTATTAGGATGTAAATTGTAGTTTGAATGGTTTAGATACAAGGAACATTGATATTGTATTTTGCAGGTAATTCAGGCGAAAACACAGAAAACCTTAAAATAGCATTAGTGGTTGTGTCAGCCGGTTTAATTGGTGCCGTTATAATAATAGTGATCATGTATCGCCGCTTACAGAACAGAAAACATTCCAGGTAAGACTGCTAACTGCTGTTTGAAAGGAGTTTAATTTATTCACAAATAGTTTTATGTTTGCTCTTTACCCTATGGTAAGACTTTTTCAGGTTATATCATACAATTTAAATAACACCAGACAAGACATAGTATACCGCAATGTTTGGCGAAATATTTGTTATTCTTACTTCTGCTCCACGATGAAATTACAGCGAATTATTATGTTTGGCGTAAAATTATTTTTTCTTTATCAGAAATTAATAATTATTTATCCGTTATGAACAAAAAATATGATGTCTGTCTTTTAAATTAAATGACAAGGCATATCCCTGATTTATTTATGGGTTTATACAGTATATACCGAAAGACAACTGTGTGCAATCTTGTGCATAAACCGCTTCGGATTGGTTATGCAAAGGTTGTTTTTTTTCGGCATAAACTGTCTAACTCTAAACATAATCCTGACTTTACCTTAATTTTCATAGTAAATGCAAAAAAAACACAACAGATTTGGTAACAGCAGATAATTTAAAGGATGTGTAAAACCATAATGAAAGAAAAAAAACAATTTCCCACATTATCTGATGTTTTTATACTCACTTTGACATTGTAATTATGCATTGCAAATTTGCTATATGGGTTAAATTTCATTAGCATATTTATAATGTATCGTGCATATAACCAGTAATTTAATATTCACATAGATACAAGATACTCCGATTTTATCTACTATTTTACATAAAGATATTATGCATGCATGCTACCACTTTTACTATTATTATCAGAGATGGGTTTCGCTTGATTTCAGTATTCTCGAACATTATTTTATGTCTGTGATATGGATAAATGTGATACTGCAAGCTTTGTATAGGCCATATCCTGGACCAACGCATATCCGCCCGGCACGCGCCATATCCGCCCGGCACGCGCCATATCCGCCAGGCACGCGCCATATCTGCCCGGAACGCACTATATAGTTGAACTTCTATTTCAACACTTTTCAGAAATTTTACACCTGAAACTGTTAGTGTACATATCTGCCTGTACATTGTGTTCATTGTGTTTTATGTAAGGTAGAGTGTGATTAGAGCTATGAATGTTCTGCGTGTTTTATGTAAGGTAGAGTGTGATTAGAGGTATCCATGTTCTGCGTGTTTTATGCAAGGTAGAGTGTGATTAGAGTTATCAGTGTTCTGCGTGTTTGATGTACGGTAGAGTGTGATTAGAGGTATCAGTGTTCTGCGTGTTTTATGTAAGGTAGAGGGTGATTAAAGTTATCAATGTTCTGCGTGTTTTAGGTAAGGTAGAGTGTGATTATAGTCATTAATATTCTGCGTGTTTTATGTAAGGTAGAGTGCGATTAGAGCTATGAATGTTCTGCGTGTTTTATGTAAGGTAGAGGGTGATTAAAGTTATCAATGTTCTGCGTGTTTTAGGTAAGGTAGAGTGTGATTATAGTCATTAATGTTCTGCGTCTTTTATGTAAGGTAGAGTGTGATTAGAGCTATGAATGTTCTGCGTGTTTTATGTAAGGTAGGGTGTGATTAGAGTTATCAATGTTCTTCGTGTTTTATGTAAGGTAGAGTGTGATTAGAGCTATGAATGTTCTGCGTGTTTTATGTAATGTAGAGTGTGATTAGAGTTATCAATGATCTGCGTGTTTTATGTAAGGTAGAGTGTGATTAGTGTTATCAATGCTCTGCGTGTTTTATGTAAGGTAGAGTGCGATTAGAGCTATGAATGTTCTGCGTGTTTTATGTAAGGTAGCGCGTGATTATAGTTATCAATGTTCTGCGTTTTTTATGTAAGGTAGAGTGTGATTATAGTCATTAATATTCTGCGTGTTTTATGTAAGGTAGAGTGCGATTAGAGTTATCAGCGTTCTGCGTGTTTGATGTACGGTAGAGTGTGATTAGAGTATCAGTGTTCTGCGTGTTTTATGTAAGGCAGAGTGTGATTAAAGTTATCAATGTTCTGCGTGGTTTATGTAAGGTAGAGTGTGATTATAGTCATTAATATTCTGCGTGTTTTATGTAAGGTAGAGTGCGATTAGAGTTATCAGCGTTCTGCGTGTTTGATGTACGGTAGAGTGTGATTAGAGGTATCAGTGTTCTGCGTGTTTTATGTAAGGCAGAGTGTGATTAAAGTTATCAATGTTCTGCGTGTTTTATGTACGGTAGAGTGTGATTAGCGTTATCAATGTTCTGCGTGTTTTATGTAGGGTAGAGTGTGATTATAGTTATCAATGTTCTGCGTGTTTTATGTAAGGTAGAGTGTGATTAGAGCTATGAATGTTCTGCGTGTTTTATGTGTTAGAGCTAATAATTTTGCTGTAATAGAGCAGAATTCGGCGTGTGAACTTTCAAACTAGGGTTGGTCTTAATAGCATTAAAATAGATAGTGATTCGACTTAAAAAAGATACAAATGTTGGTTCCAAACTAAGTCTTAAACTTTTATCAATATTCTATCATTAACTCTACACCTAGTTTGCAGGACTTGCTGTTTTTTTTCTTATGTTTCTTTGAATTTAGTAAGCAAATCATCAACAAATTTATTAGATTTGTGATATCACTTATTTTCAAACATCGTTACTCGTTATGTATATGAATCGTCACAACCACATGCGCGCTATTTCATGAGGACATTACAGTTATGGAGGCTATTTTGCTTGTCATATTATTCTGCAGATTATATTTTCGCCGTCATGTTATTGACCCGCGAAATCGCGAAAATATCATCTTCGCGGAAATGTTCCGCTATAGGGTATTGCTGACGTTAAGCGGAACTCCATCTTCTTATACTTTCTCATGTATGAATGTGTAGCATGCTTACCGGTTCATATTAGTTACCACTGTATTGTACTGTATAGTGTATAGTTCATTCCGAAAAACTGTATCTATTACCAAATTTTAAAGGTGCAATCTATGTTCAATTCATTTTTCAAGATGCAAGGTGGTAGCATATTCTGATGGGTTATTTTAGTCCCCGAGGATAACCTTAACCTTGAAAGTTCACGGTTCTAATAATACAAGCATTACTCTTTTATTGTTCTCTTTTTTTTTCTTTTTTTAATTCATATATAATTAAGGGTTTTTTCGTCCTCCCCTTTTGTTTCAATTCTTTTGAGATACATAATGCCGTTTCAAATATCGAAACATATATGAATTTGTCGTAAGTCATCAGATGAAGTATTTAACATAGCATACTTTATAACATTTTTTAATTTGCTATATAATTCACCGCTTGCAAGATTAACGTAGAACGCATACTTGTTAGCACCTATAGAATTTGATGAATGATACAGTAGGCAAAAATTATTCAACTTAATTAAGGATAGAAATAGATGATACATTGTAGTCCTTATATTTGAAAACAAATTATTTTAACCGTATTACTAGTAGATTTCTCTTGTGTCATGCATAATTTTGAAAATACCATACATGTAATCGATGAATATACGTAATTTTTTTACGTTAAAAATACCAATTGATTTTAACCATATAAGATGGTTTCTTCTGTGTCATTGACTTTTTTAAAACAAACTTTGAAGCGAAATGGTGGAACAACCATGTTCTGCGAGAAAAAGGTCGCGTCTTCTATGGTTCCTTTCTTCGTTTTGGTGACAACCGCCAATCGAAAAACACTTTGGGAATTTCCGTCATCGTTTGAATCTAATTTCACATCATAATTAGTTTCCTAGTATGACTGAGGGACCTGAATTTTTTCCGAATGGATTATATTCATATGCGATAGTTCATGCTGCTATTGAGTGAATGTGGCAAAATATTCGGATGGATTCAAATCGAATTTCAAACCAATAATACGATGGTTTTTGCATTGATTGTGCTTCACATAAAAGGCGACCATTTTCCGCAGGCATGCTCAATCACTGATTATTTCATATGAAACATTCACACATTATTTCTTGGTTCATTGTTATGATCATTCAAGTTCATACAATGTACCTCCATAACGTAAGCTTGCTTTTTACAATACTGTCAAACACACCGGCTTCGAGCTTTTGTCTTTCGATGGAACGTATGCATTTATATTTAAGTATATAGTCTTATTGTACTTTCCATAGATGGCATGGAGACGACGCAGCAACGGAACTTACTTCCAATTGTTAACGCTTGGTGGAGGTGGTGATCCTTATGACTTAACGAACATATTCATATTGAAGTTATTTTTCTTTAGACCTCAAAGGAGTTTACAAGTCAATTTTTTCCAAGAAGAGGAGAACGGTGTTGACGACATTAAAGATACAGACAGTGAAACGGATGTTGGGGAGGCGACTCCAGAGCGGAAACCATTTCTTATGCGTTCAAAAAGTACGCCATAAAATATGTTTTCATATATGCGTTTTTGGAAAACGTTTTCATATACACGTTTTTGGGAAACGGTGTAAGATGGCATTTGTCTGTTTTTGGTCTGGCATCTAAAGCAAAGTTGGAATCGGATTTAATTCAAGAGGTTTAATTTTAGAAACAGCGGTAGAGTAGAACAAACATAAAAATCAAATGTAATGCTTTGAATTATGATTCTTAAAAACAGACAGTTTGACACTGAACTGAAATATAAAAATATTCAATGATGGACAGAGAGAAAAACCTAGCATTTTCAAGGCAATTTTTTACTTTTGTGAAAAGAATGAAAGATCGTTATAGTTCAGACGCCCGAGGGATGCATATTCCCACCACTGTGTATGGCATTAAATGCTAAGCATTAATATTCATAACTTTGGTACTGGGGGCATTTCTTCCACTGTGACAGTATGTATATTGATTCGTCAATATTAAGCCTTCTAATGGGATAAACAAAACTAAAGCAAGTCCAGTAATAGGTACTTAGCTCCCTGTGTGCCATGATACAAAATCAAAACTGCTGTTTAGAGTACGTATTCAAGGAAATTGATGGCTCCTTGGCTGATCGTCATCTTCTTTTAAGCATCAGTGCGTGTGCAATGGTGCTAGTGTCGAGTGTAGGATTTGTTAACCACTATGCAAGGACCAGTGCGTGGACTGGACTGTTACAGTTTCTTAATATTCATCTTCAACCTAGTATCAGCACGTGTTGTTCTGTTGTTCTGTGAGGGCGCATTCGTCTTCATTCAAAATCGATTGGTATATGTGCATCATTTAGGTGGATAGGTCAGTGAGGACACCTTCATCTTTATTCAAGAATCGTGGATACATGTGGTTCAGTGAGGGTGCCTTCATTTACAATCCAGCATCGGTCAGTACATCATATACGTAGTAAGTTCAGTGAGGACGCCACAATCTTTAATCAAGCTGTGGTCAGTACATCATATACGTGGTAAGTTCAGTGAGGAAGCCCCCATCTTCAATCCAGAATCCGTCAGTACATCATATACGTAGTAAGTTCAGTGAAGACGCCCCCATCTTCAATCCAGTATCCGTCAGTACATCATATACGTAGTAAGTTCAGTGAGGGTGCCTTCATTTTAAATCCAGCATCGGTCAGTACATCATATACGTAGTAAGTTCAGTGAGGACGCCACAATCTTTAATCCAGCTTTGGTCAGTACATCATATACGTAGTGAGTTCTGTGAGGACGCCACAATCGTTAATCCAGCTTTGGTCAGTACATCATATACGTAGTAAGTTCAGTGAGGACGCCCCCATCTTCAATCCAGTATCCGTCAGTACATCATATACGTAGTAAGTTCAGTGAAGACGCCTTCATTTTCAATTCAATATCCGTCAGTACATCATATACGTAGTAAGTTCAGTGAAGACGCCTTCATTTTCACTCCAGTATCCGTCATTACATCATATACGTAGTAAGTTCAGTGAGGACGCCTTCATTTTCACTCCAGTATCCGTCAGTACATCATATACGTAGTAAGTTCAGTGAGGAGGCATTCATTTTCACTCCAGTATCCGTCATTACATCATATACGTAGTAAGTTCAGTGAGGACGCTCCCATCTTCAATCCAGTACCCGTCAGTACATCATATACGTAGTAAGTTCAGTGAGGAGGCATTCATTTTCAATCCAGTAACCGTCAGTACATCATAAACGTAGTAAGCTCAGTAAGGACGCCTTTATTTTCAATCGAGTGTCCGTCATTACATCATATACGTAGTAAGTTCAGTGAGGACGCTTCCATCTTCAATCCAGCTTTGGTCAGTACTTAGTATACGAAGTAAGTTCCGAGAGGACGCCTTCATTTTCAATCGAGTGTCCGTCATTACATCATATACGTAGTAAGTTCAGTGAGGACGCTTCCATCTTCAATCCAGCTTTGGTCAGTACTTAATATACGAAGTAAGTTCCGAGAGGACGCCTTCATTTTCAATCCAACATCGGTTGAAGCACCATTTATGTGTATAGTTCGGTGATGATGTTAATGATAAATTCTATAACGTGTATTAATATGAAACTAGGCATTCCTCGTTATTCTATCATCGGTACATTGTTTCTAGGCGGTTTTTTGACAATGTGTTCATTTTAGACCATGCATCGGCATGTGGAAAACCCTATTTTCTTATTTGTATTGTAGCATTCGTACCTTGAAGCATTTTTTTTTATCAATATACGATAACTTTTCTTTTAGCTAACATAACGTTTGAGATAATAGGCTTTGATATTATTTGCTCAAACAAATTAAAAGAGTTTATACTTTACAATTTTAGCTTGCATTTGTATTAATAGTATTTATTAGCGTGTCCTCGATTTGTTTTTTAAATGTTAGAACCTCTTTGTATGTTTTGCTTTGAATATAAACATTGTAAACAATTATGAAACACGTTTTCCAACCTGTATTCGTCACTTTTTATGACTCACGTGAAAGCCCACAGAGGATTTATGTGTGTTTTTTTCCCGGAGAAATTTGGTTTACAATGCGGTGGTATATATATGATGTACATTGTCTGCAAGACTGCTTATATTGAAATTATGAGATCTGAAACAGGATGAATTATGTTAGGATATTAAAACCATTTAGCCGAACATAACTGTATATAACTTCCGGGCAGTCAATTGCTTTGTTCGATACGTATCATTTCTCTGTATGTCTTTGTAAATTCGTCCTCGAATGGAATGCATCTTCTAGAGGAAACGATTTTTTTATATATCAATATTTACGATCGATATCACCTGTAATTATTTGTATGCATGTTTTGAAACAATTTTATAGGTAATGACTTCTATTAATATTTAACGCAAGGGCTAATATTCAAATTTCATTTCAGTAATAATTACCATAACTTTAGTATGCATATACAATACCTACACCCATCTTTGTAGCCCAAAAACAAAAGATTTAAATATCCCTACCTCCCTACCGTGACGTAACCCCTCGATGACAGAGCCATGGAGTGATCTCCCTTCCTCAAACCCCCTTTTATGGAGCCTAAAGCTGCAGTATTGTAATTTGCATGATACGAATTCCATAAGAAACTGTCAGCACTAACTGGTTTTTGTTACATCTTTAAGTTGAAGGGTACCAACATTTTTAACTATATAATCACCACTGTCATATTATAAAATATTTGTTTGTTCTTTTCAACAAAGGCTATTCCGTAAAAAGAAATGATGCATTTTTCAGGATTAAAGTTCTTTGAAATTCGAATATTTCGAAACGACAATGACAAAATAACACCCAGAACTCTGCAGGAGTCGAACTCTACACTGCTAAACATGCACTATATACATTTTGCAATCAAGGAATAAATGATGAGCACCAAAACGAGAGTCCAGTTTAAGGGTCTATACAAATACAAATGAGTATTAAATGATACAAAACTTTAAAGGTCAGTTTCCTCTGACACTGACACAAGACTTCGACATTTTGACTTTTTGTCAGTGAGAAATTCAGTTTGATTACTTTTTCTTTTATATTACGGAAGATAACTCTAAGTTAGACCAAACACCGAGTAGAACTCTTTTTTGCGGTTTTTGTTCATGCATGGGTGCTATTTACCTTAAATTGAAAATAATACAATGTATGTATGTGACAGTATGAGATTTTGATAGTAATCATGTGTTATGTACATGTAAAGTGTGTGCTTATATTGATTAAATGTATATATATTGTTTAAATACTTCTACTGGTGTACCAATATGATATTACCATGGACATGAAGGAGAATGCATCCTTAATGTTCGTGTGTTACCTGTACCTGTGAACACTGTACTTGTTATGACACCTGACAGACAGAATGACATTTGATTGGTCTGTGACTGTCCAATCGAAATAAGAGGTGTGCTAAGATCAGGGTAGGCTAGGGAATGCATGTACCTGGATAGAATCAGGTGGGCACGTGTGCTGGAATCCAGTTAGGACATTAACCGCTTATATTTTGCCGTGTTGGAAAAGTGAGAATGGGAATGGCACTAAAACCCTTGCCCAATTATGCAGGTTTTTTTTTGCTCGGGTTAAGCCCTATAATAAAAGGACCACGAAATCGAACCAACCGGGTCGTTAGCGTTGCTTTATAGCCCGGTAACATGTATGCAATAGTTAAATGATAATATGGTAAATTTCTATGGCGTAATAGACCACTATTTTTACTTTGTTTTAGTGTGTATATTATTTCGAAAATCATTCTTGTATGTTTTATTCACGAATACCTGAATTTTGAGTTGCATAGGAAGTTCTATCAATATAGATAGTAATTGTTTATATTAGTAATATTCACGGAAGATTTGTCTTCCGAGAAAATAATATGATTCACAGTAGAATGTGAGGCATTAAACTTGATAATTTTGCATTTGCTATCGAACATAATCTGGTCAAGTATTTTATCAGCTGTATGTTGTTCAAAGTTCTTTACTGATTTTTAATATTGTATTACGGTCTCGTACTGTGACCTATAGTATTATTCTTATGATTAGGGATTTCCATTTCGGATGGAAATCCCTATTGTTATTGTTATGTTTTTTCTTATTATCTTATTATTGTTATTTCCAGAAATCTTGCTAACACTTTTTTTTCAAGAACGAACAAAGATGTTTCGTTCATATTTCAGTATGTGACAAAGGAAAACGATCCCATGACATTCGAACAAAAAAGAAAATCATTAATTCAAAGGTCAAGGTCTAAGATCTATAAATAGAGTTTTTTTAAAAAGTTTTTCGAACAACCATAAATACGTTCGTTGTACTGCATGAACGCTTAACAGTTCTTGTAAATCATGGTCGGGGCTAACTTTTGTCCATGACATGTTATCAGAGAATATGTCAAGTTCAAGGTATCGCTATGAGGTCAAATATAAGTTAAAAATGAAAATATCAAAAGTTGCTTAATTGTTTAACATCAAAAATGACGAAGATATGCCACTTTGAAAAATGTTCATTTTCCCGTCAAAATTTTCAAAATATTGCACTTAAAACTATTCTCCACAGTTACTATGAAACATAAAGAGTAGGTATTTGGCACATCAACAGCATGTATGATTGGCTACAAGCAGAGTTCAGCTCATTGACCTTGACCTTTGTTCAAGGTCACAGGGGTCAAATGATCAAAAAAATGAAAATGTCAAAATACTCCAAAATTATTTTTACACCACATTAAAAGAATGTATCCTAATAAAGAGATTTATACAGTTTTAAGGTCAATGCATCATGATGCATGTCAATAAACAAGTGAAACCTACAAAATAGGTTTGTCAGAGAAGGGAGGCAAAGGGAAGCGAAGGAAAACGTTTAAAAGCGGTCGTCAGTCCGGGAACATATCTTTGATCATTTTCTTGTTGGAAATCCCGTGTTTTGATCTTGATCAAATCTAGTTATTATTATTATTAATCGACCAAAGATGTTTTTCATATGTTGTAATGTAACGATCGTATTGTAAGTGGATCTGAACTTTATAAAATATTGTAAAAGTACAAACTTAAGCGGTATGTTTAATTTTTGCTTTTGTCACACTTAAAACCTTGCGCTAATTTATGTTTGCGCAAATTAACGTTTTTGTAATCAGTTGTCTATTGCATATTGCTTTTTCATTGTTCTAAACATATTTTATTGTAATTTCTATGCAATGGGAGTTGGACATACGTTTAACAACTTATATTAAGCCCTTTCCCTACAATATATCATTACAAATTTTCAGGATGACGTTGCATATACTGTAAGCGCGCCAATTTATCAATGCTATGAGCTCTTAGCTAAAATTGTATGATACGCTAAACTTTGATTCCGCTAAAATAAGTACTCGTACAGTATGTTTTGTACATAAGAATGTTTGTTTGTGATTGGTTTATCTTTAAAAGAGTTAGAGTTATTGTTTTAGAAAGAGTTTGCGGATCGGGGTATGCATTGATGTGTCATGTCACTACAGAAAGATACTGTGAAAGTTGATATTCTGGCGTATAGAAATGTTCGCTCATTGACTTTTTTAACTAAACGCTGTTTGGAAATGCCCGTGTTGGTAACAGCTCTTGAGTCCATAAGTGTATATATCGTTATCGTTAAATAATTCGTTACGTTATTTATTCATATATTTTTCAATACAAGAGCGAGGCAGTTTTTCGTATATTTTTCTTCTTTACCGTGCAAACTTAGTCCAAGACTCCAATTGTGTAAATTGTGACTACCATTGCGAAATTGCCTATCACTTCTTCTTTGAATGTCAACCTTATACAAATGCTCGTACTGTACTTTTTAATCATATAAATCATTTACATGTACATTTAACGTTAATATTATTACTGTTTGGAAATGAAAATCTGGCTTTGGATACAAATTGTGATGTATTCAAACAAGTGCAAACTTTTATTAGATCCAGTGGAAGATTTTAACATGTTTCCATTATGAACTTGACGTTAAAATATGCTTTTTTTGTATGTGTATGTGTTTCTTTAAAAATCGCTTCATACTACTATGAATTGTAATTGACAATCTATATCATCATCTGTTGTTTTTGATTATTGTTGTAAGGAGATGGCTTCATAAGTTGTAATAACTTGTGCCAAATCCTATTTTCCAATTCTGGTTAATAACATATGTTTAAAGTTTAAAGTCGTATATTTTCCTGTTGTTCCGTGTATGAGTTTTCCAAATTATGCCGCGTGTACATGTAAGTAATATAGACGCAACATCTAGTTCTACATTCAAGTTAACAGTTTCCAAACTGTGTACTACTGCCAGAAACTGTAACTAAGTATTGGAATCTATTTTTCCCGACATGAGTTTAGCTTTAATACATAAAAAAAACATTTCTGAAGGAAAATCAACCTTGCGGGACTTAGAAATGATAAAGATGAAATAAAATATAATCAACAACAGTGTTCTAAGTGAAAAAACGAACAACCGCGGGACTAGATCCGGGTTCGAACCTTGTTTACTTCGGACTGCTATATCATCGCTCTAACCGATCGAGCTACCTGGTAGACGGAAATTTGCTTCGTTTATATCGAAACGGAGGTTTTAAGTGAGATTACTGCATATTAGAACAACCACAATACATTGAAGCAAGGATCCTTAAACAAGAAAATTATCCAACTGAATTCTGTGAACTATCCGATAGGTTTAATCTAACCTTAAGACCAGAAAGGCCAGCCACAATATACTCTAGTGATTTTGTCTTATGAACAATGAGCTTCTTGTCGTATATCCAAACTATTAACAATACTACATTTGTAAGTGTTATACAATAGACTGTTGTCCTTTACAAGCGAAACTTATTTATATATATATATGTATTATCAAATAATCTCGGTTTCCAATGCACTGAGGGACACAAATAGAGCCGACGATAGAGATACATGTATGTGATAAAATACTGCCCCTCGTAATGTTGTCAGTGACGGCTTAAGGATCCTTGTCCAACTGTGGTTATATATGTAAATATAATAACCTCCACCTAATTTCGTTTTGGATGTAAATGTAGCACAGTTGGGCAAGGACACTTCCATTGACAAGGTAGCTCAAACGGTTAGAGCGATAGTAAACAAATCTGAAGTCCAGGGTTCGAATCCCGGTCTAGCCCCGTTATTTGGTTTTTCACTCAGAACACTGTTGCTAATATTCTGTAAATTGAATCTTTATCAGTTTTCACAAAAGTCCCACAAGGTGTGATTCTATAAACGGTGGTTTTATTTCAAATATTCACAATTCATGTTTTCCTTAAACGGCGTTTTTCCAAGAAAATTTGACTTTTAATATTGGTTTTCTTAAATGGATTATTTCACAATTCTAAATTGCTTTTTTGGCTGTCCAAGTAAGCGATTCCTGAGCGCGGTTTCCTTTGTTCGCACGGAGTCATGATTTCCTACCAAATTCTACCAGTGTAGAACGGCTGAGCGGATTTTGACAAACATGTTAGGTCATTCATCTTTGCATGAAAGTGGATGAATGAGAGGAGGTGGGTTTCAGTGTTTCAGGTAGAAAAGAAACAGGTCTGACCTCTTGTTAGACACAAGAACAAAATCAGTTCTTTAGCGTTAATGAATTGTTGTGAAAGTGGTTGTAATAGCAGTGTATTTAAAGAAAAAGAAAGAGTTTTTAGTGATGAACGTTCTTTATGCTGCGCCATTTAAATGTCAGTTTTAAAACAAATTAACATTTATCATCTTATTCATTTTTGAATCGGTCTTATTGTCATTCATGTATACATTGGCATGGTTATCGTTATTTTCGAACTCTTATATGATTGGAGATATGATCAATGAAAATCATCAGTTTGGAAATATGATATTTTTCTTTACGTGTCGCAACGTTTTAAGACCGACTCGTCCCTTTGTCAAGGTATGCAAAGTTTTAAGATCACACACTTAGTTATAGCTTGACAAAGGGCCCAGACGGTCTTGACACGTTGCAGCGCTTTAATGCGAACAATTTAAGTTGGTTGTATATTTTTCCATATTGTTTAATATTTACATTTGCACTGCATAGTGCCTAGATAACTCTACTGGTCCCATTGTAACATATTTTCCAATGAACTACAACGGGGATTAGGTCAGTGTAGTGATACACTGACCTAATTACCGCCAAGTGGCGATGTTCCGCTGTTTTGTGTCTTAAATTGTTATTGTATGACAGTTAAATCGCTAAATGACCACAACATATATTAAAATGGTCACATGTTAGTATACAAATTGGTAATTGACATATATGCATTTAAATTTTAAAAAATCTATTATTAAATTTATGTGATTACTGTGGAAATTTCTTGTTTATTGTTTTTGTCGGCCTGGTTGCCCTTGACAACGACTGTGGAATGCGACACTACCCGGCTGTTCCGAACAATTTACCGCTGACCCAGTCGGTGTGTATAAGAGTTTTAAAATAGCAATTGACAATACTCGCAACATTGCACAACTAAAATTGTTGGTTTGGAATATAAATATAAGGATTGGTTTTCATATTTTTGACGTTTATTGGCGTGTAAACTACATCGGGCTTGCGATATATTGAATGGTGCGCGTTTGCGATATAATTAACATGGTGCGCTAACGCGCATCATTCAATATATCGCAAGCCCGATGTAGTTTACACGCCAATAAACGTCAAAAATATGACAACCAACCCTTAAATAAATTACAGATAACAATTTTAATAATGCGTTTATTAGAGAGGTTTATTTACGAAAATTGAGCATAAACTTCCGCACGTATATCTGAAGCATGTAGATTTTAAACACTGGGAGTCTTAATTAATTATAGACTTTTGACTTTTGTTGAGGAGAAACACGTGGTTGTATGAACCAGAGAAATTCATATTGACGTAGACGAAGTCGAAGTTAATGTTTTTTAGGTTCATATAACCTCATCTTCATCGAAATAAAAGTCCTTAATAGTTATAGCATGTACTTAATGATTATTGAGTCATTACACATTGTCAGAAGAAAATTACTGCTTTTAGTAGAGAGCATTGTGACGTGTGAATTGAAATGATGTCATAAAGTAAATATTGACCAGCTGTTTCTTGAAATAGTAAGACCGGGTCAGTATCAAAAATCACTGACCATCATATGATCATGATCAAACCAATGAGGATGTTTGAGAAAAGTGCGTCATCTAATATCCTCAGTTATTAATCACAGGATGCATTGAATAGATTTTCAATGAGACTGTTTAGGTTAAAGTTCAAGTGCCTTTAGGGCAATAGCAGCACCACACTCAAAATATTCATGGCGTCACAACTGTAAATAGAACAAATAATACAAAACAAGAGGCTCGGAAGGCCTGTATTGCTCACCTGAGTATATAAGCAATCATGGCAAAATATTCTCCAAATGAGATCCAAGTGAAAAGGCCAGACCCCAAGGACAATCCTTGTAGCATATCTGTATTAGATTTTTCATGCCCAGCAATTTTATGCATGGTTATGGGGTGAGGGTCTCAACTGTTTCCAAGCTATGACTCAGAAACCAGGTCCCTAGGGTTGTGGCCAGAACCCAGGATCAATTATAATATCATGACTGCATTCGTCTCTTTATGCCCAGCATTTGTATATATAGTTTTGGGGTGGGGATCTCAACCGTTTTAAAGTTATAATCCAGGGGTTAAGTCTGCAAGGGTGGGGCAGACACTAGGGTAAGTTCTAATATTATGACTGCATTCGTCTCTTTATGCCCAGCAACTGTATATATAGTTTTGGGTGGTGATCTTAACCGTTTCAAAGTTATGACCCAGGGCTTTAGACTCAAGGATGGAGCAGACACCGAGGACATCGTGGAAGCATATGTACATTCATCTCTTTTACTCAGCAATTGTACTTATGGTTATAGGGTTGGGATATCAACTGTTTCCAACCTGTGACTCAGGAACTAGGTCCCTATGGGTTCGGTCAGTCCCCATGGTCTATTCTAATATCATGACTGGATTCGTCTCTTTATGCCCAACATTTGTATATGTAGTTTTGGGGTTGGTATCTCAACCGTTTCAAAGGTATGACCCAGGGACTAGGTCTACAAGGGTAGGGCCAGACCCCAGGGCCAACCTGGAAGCAAATGTGCATTCTTCTCTTTATACTCAGCTATTGTATATATGGTTATATGGTGGGGATCTCAACCATTTTCAAGTAATACACTTTTCTGGTCCCTAACCTTAAAGAACCTGACCAATTGTAAGGCTGTTACTTCAACCGCGGTCTATTTGCCGTTACACAACCGCAACATTCCTATTTTGGACATCAAACTAATTTTCCTGTCTCTAGGTGGCGCATACTTAGCCTTCAAATTTGTCCTGACATATTCCAGGGGTGCAGAGGCATTGCTATGTTGTCAGTCAAACGTTCAATTTAGTTGTTATCCGGAAGCGTAAAAATATGTTTATATTGTTGTTGATGTTTTTGAACCAAACTCGGTGGATTCAAAGATATGTTTCTTTTACTTTGCAATTCAAGGCTGTTATGACCCTTTGATGGTCTTTCTCGGTAAAATTAACGTCTTAATTACTCCACCATTTGCAAATAGTTCTCAAAATATAGAGATCTGGATGAGTAACATCGATGTCTCTAATCTCACGATTTAAACACCAAACAACCCTTAAATCTAACACTGGTTGGCAATCCGAATATCTCGAAATCATTAATATGCAAGCATATTTTAATGATCTGTTACTCAATGGCAAGGCCCATTTTGACCATTTCTAGACATTGTTGTTAAATAGGGCCCATCATCAAGTTTATGATGTTTCCAGGCTAATCCTTTGAGTTTTGGGCATGTACGAATTACGAAACATGTCGTTCAGCAGACGACACCAGCCTAGCTAGCAGTCAAACGTTTATCAAACGTTGACCGACGGAAACTAACGTTGGCGCGACGTCGGGTCCAAGATTTGGTTACTTAACTCTTACTTCAATATGTTGCAGTTTAAACAACAACAACAAAATAATTTAACACAGAGTATAATCATTACCGTATCTCCTTTATGTATCATACTTTGATATGCACTTCAATTCCAAATGGTTTTCACAATCAGGGAATATTTAAATTAGTTTGGATGAAAAAATAATTTCCTTTCTAAATGCAATATAATAGTTACATAATATTGACAGTGGTATAGACGTAAACATAAATGATATTCGGTTCGATTAGCTATGATGATGCAGTGTAATTATGGTAATTAAGAGTTACTGTGATGATATTGTGTGACTATGATGATATAATGATAGAGTGTAATAGTGCTGACATGGTTATCTGTGACCACAGTGTAACTATGGTAGTATGTTGTAACTGTGGTGATGAATTTGTATGGACTATAGTAATTAAGAGTAATTATGGTAATTAAGAGTAACTATGGAAATTAAGAGTTACTTTGATGACATTGTGTGACTATGATGATATAATGATAGAGTATACGTCTGCTGACATGGTTATCTGTGACCATTTCTGGCAGTAGGACAGTTTACATCCCCTGCACATGAGTCCCTTATCGGGTTTATGTTTATAGCATTGGCACACACAACATTTTCATTGGACTCCTTTGTACCCTGTTTGTTCATCTGGATAATTGGCGTACAGGCTGTTAATTTACTAGGTCTAAGCTCGTGCTGATTTTTAGCTGTTGTTCATTCGTTACCATGATCCATTGTTACACTGGTTATGTGTTTTGTTAAAGGATTCCTCTCGGAAATAGCATGTAACTTGTATATGTGTATAGCATTGGCACATGAGGCCCTTAACGGGTATATGTTTATAGCATTGTCACATGAGGCCCTTATCGGGCATATGTTTCTAGCATTGGCACATGAGACCCTTATCGGGTATATGTTTATGGCATTGACACATGAGCCCCTAATCGGGTATATGTTTATAGTATTGACACATGAGGCCCTTATCGGGAATATGTTTATAGCATTGACAGATGAGCCCCTTGTCGGGTATATGTTTATAGCCTTGGCACATGAGCCCCTTATCGGATATATGTTTATAGCATTG